CCCTGGGCCATTTCCAGAACGATCACTGACTGTGTGAGACAGCTGCTAGCAGATACACGTGAGGCAGGAAGCGGAGTATTACAAGCAAGGAGCCAACCCAAGCAATTGTACTGAAGCAGGAGAGCTTTGCTACAACATCACAGGTATCTGAAATATTTTGTCAATGCATACACTGATACACTGAATCTATCGCAGTTTTATTTGGAAGACTGCAGTTATTTGAAATTATTCTGTTAATGATACCGAATGCCACCAATTACCAGCACGACTAAAGACAAAGAAAACTTCATATGATGAAAAACAAATTGAAACTAATTAAACCAAGCCATATTTCCTCAAAAATGGTAAGATATTCGCCTGAACATGGTTCAGAAAACATTTCCAGAAATGAACAGAAGAGAGATTATGACAAATACAATGGATTTTTACAAGTAGCAGTGTTAATAAGCAATACTTATAGGCTGCAGATTTTAATCTGATGATTGCCTAGGCAGAAATAAGTTTATATTATCAGTAAGTAAGCAAGAATTTCTGTTAAATTTACTATACAAATCACATCCATTACCTGAGAAGTTGATTATTGTGTGAGTCAATCAGAAAAATGCTTTTTCTTTCCTAAATGGCAATGGAATACAACTTATCTGCATGCTGCCAATATTTATTACATTAACCACTGACCTCAGATTTAGTGAAAACCATCCGTTGCTGCAGGAGGAAAGATAATTACCATGTAGCAGTACTCTGTTCTTGAGACCTACAGCAACTGACAGATTTAATCAACGTGGATATGAACAAGATTCTCTGTACCATGAAATTTTAATGTGTAACAAAATATTTACAAAATGTTCTTCCCTTCGCTTTATATCACAGAATTCTACAAGCACTTGCAGACAACTATTTTGCTCTGCTTCGTCCATTAATTATGTGGCCCAACCTTTACTCACTCATTGAGGGATGTAAGAGCCCAATGGGCAGAGGCCCTTTCTCTTGAGTTGTGCCTGCAAATCTGGGGCAAGCATTAGTCTGAAAGAGGTGATGGCATCACAGCCAGTGAATTTTGAGTATTTATCATCCTTTTTGTCAGTGGGGTATATTACTTACTGAAGTCCGCATTTAAGGTTTTCCTTGATAAACTGGATAAATTTCCATTAGCTGTTCTTGTCGCAGACTGAAACAGCAGATGCCTGAAAATTATTCATCTTCTCTTACTTTGAAATGTGTGAAAACGCTGCTCCGAAAAAAGTTACAGCATCAAGCTATGACAAAAAATAAGCCATAACTGGACAGAAGCACTGATCTGAGGGATGAAAACCTCTGCTTACTAGTTGTCTAATTTAAAAGCAAAATGTGAACGTATTTCTGTTTTACTTTTGCTGAAAGAATAAATTAGATATGATGATTTACATGTTGGAAAAAAAGGCTTTGAAAAGAAAAGCAAATACTCAATACAGAAACAGTCAGAGTTCAAGTCCTCTGAAAATTTATCTGCTTCTATGCTATGATAGGAACACCACCAGGCTCTGCCACTGCACAACTATCAACACAGTTGGTTTCTTTACAGCAGGCTGCATACAGCACAAGGGCTTAGGCTGTTCCAGATACAGGTCTTTAACCATCGAAGCAAGAAATATGCAACTTCTAAAGCTAGAACACATGCTGAGGTAATCAAAAGAACTCTGATTGCTACGTAAGACACTAGTGAGATACTCTGTTGATTCATGTGTCCGTAATGAGTTTGCTCCAGACAGCTGTAACTTCTATTCCAATACCCCAGTGCTGTCACGAGGCTGACTACTCAACTGGACTGTTGATGATGCATTCCAGTCCCATTCAGCAATGCTAAAAATCAGTGCTTAAAATCACGCGCAGTGTCCAAGGCCACCCCCAAAGTGATATGCTGGTTCTTTCATCCATCTAGAGAAATCATTTTAAGAGCAGGCTTGCTTTGTGCAATTTGATTTTGACAGCATTCCTAATAGTAATCAAGAAAGGGAAAAGAGAGTTTAAAGCTTGAGAGTGCCTCTCCCGAGCAGTGCCTAACAGCTAAGCAAAGTCTTCTGCCCTGTGATTTCGGTGAGGCTCAAACCTATGCTGGAATCTTTGGACAAACAGAGGTGCAGTGATCGCATTCCAGAAGGATGCTTGATAAACTGACAGTTCCAATAAAGCGGCTGGAAGGATGCGAGCATTTAAGCTAGTTCGCTGCCACCACTTAGCAGGGATGAAAAGATGAGATTAACTGCTCTTGACTGAGCAATTACTGTGTGACAACATATCTTAATACATCTCTTTGTATGTGCGTGTGATTTATGTACTACCATTAGAAAAACATGCTTTAGAAAGCAAATTAGTGACGATAAACCAAATTTAAGTATATGCTAATTCTCTCTCCTAAACTTTATATTTTGCAGTAACCCAGTAAGCCAGCATCATACACAGATTTGCTCATGTGAAAAGACTTATCTCTTGCTGAACACAGGAACTACAGGTCACTCCTATTGCGTTTCATTTTATGCTTGTGAACCAAATTGATCAAGTGCACCACGCCCAGAAAGCATTAAGATAACTACCAGCCAAATGCAGGCTATCCAGTGTTTCTCTCAAAAGGCATCCATCCTTGCTAACCAAGAGAAAGGATGTTCCCAAACCTCAATATCCGTCTGGAAAAAGACTTCTGGGAATATTTCGTACTTTTCGTACACATAATAAGCCTAACAAACAATACTTGGCATCAAAACAGTAATAATTTTCTGGTGGATCATTAACATTTAACTTCTGCCTACATTAAACGAAGTCCCTAGATCACAATACTGTGAAAAGGGAGAATTATATCCCTGTGATTCAGAACAGGCTCCACAACATGCCCATGCTGTTCTGTGAATTCTAGCAAAAAATGATCAGACAGACCCCAAGGACTAAACCAGATATTCATGAAAACTACATTTAGCTCTTCTATGGAATTTTGTGACAGATAACCATAAAGAAGGTTAACTGCATTTAATTCAGATGTGCTCAAAATTTTACACCCAAAAGAAAAAATATAAATGTTGTTAGCGTCAAAAACACGTCAGTCAGTGATTTCTAGGATTGCACCCCACTTACTAATTCCTGAAATCAACAACTGACAACAACCATGACTGCTTCATTCCTTCTCCAGAATGCCTTCAGGAGTAGAGAAGTTGCTTCCCCTCTGAGGTTAACAAACCAGATATTGGGAGCAAGCCTGTATTTTTCATATATTTTTACTGAAAATCATCCAAACAACTTTTTTTTTTTCCCCACTTTTTTTCAGTACAGACTACCTGAGATACGCTGTAAGTGGTGCTCACTAAGCTAAAAATGTGTCCTTCCTCCATTAATTTCAACATATAAGACATTTCTTTTACCTACCCAAACAGATTGTGGCACCTGATGCTGGTCAGGTCATCTAAGTTGGCACTTCAATTATTTTATTGGCACTGATGATGAAGATTATTCTGTGAAGACTGAGCACTGCTGATTTAATTTGTACAATCTTAAGGGCAGTGACAATTTCATACTTCTGTGTATACAACATTAGGACTGCAGTTCCAACTGCTACTTTTTGGATTGGCTGCTTGAATTTTCTGCCACAATGTACAAAACTGAGTGTAAAAATGTAAGTGTGTTGAAAAACCTGCAAGGCTTGACCAGCATAGAGGAGGGAGAAGAAACATTTATAACAATTTCAATAGTTGGTGGTACTTTTCTGCATTCCTTTGCTGACAAGCCCCCCGAGAACCACAGTCTCTAACGTTTAAGCTTGCATGAGATAAGTATGGGGCTTGGTTGGTTGTCTTGTTGTGTTTTTGCTGGGTGTTTTTTAGATGATAATCCTATTTAGGATGGTAATTAAAAAAATCCACCAACTTGAGTTGTTACATGTCATTACAGGATTCAAGTTTAAATCATGTCTGCTCGAAAGGAGGCACAAAACATCACCTTCATACGCTACTGAAGAAACGCCCCAAGCAATATTTGTTTCGCAGCTAGGAGGGAGGCAGTTCTGAGTGGAAAAACAAAGAGCCTTACTGATAAGTAGCTGAAAATTTCTGCATGCAAACCTTAACAGACAACAAGTGCAGCCATCCAGCAAGCAGCAGGCCTCTCATTTTGGCTAGCCTGACATGCACATGTCCAGAGGTTAAAGAAGTCTGTATGCGCATTCATTCCAGTGAATGTTAAAACAGGCGGTCTTAAAACTACAGCAGGTAGACACGCACTGCTGAAGGTCTGAGCCTAATCTCCAGGGGCCAGCTGACCCTCATATCTTTGTGCCAAGGGCAGCACCGCAAAGCAGCTTGCTGACCTGTTCAGAAGCTGGCTGCAATTTTAACAACACCTTTTTCTGAACTGGCCTGAATTACCAGCAGCAGGACTATTGTGACAGTATCCCCTCACAAGCCTAGAGCTGTTTTGTGTCTCTGAAGATATTCCTGGTACTGATAAGGCTCAGAAATTCTTTGCTTTACTGCAGGGCGCATCTTAGCAATTGCAAAGGCTTACTTATTCCAAACAGAAATTCAAAGCGAGTGAAGAAATCCCAATTGTCTACACACATTTGACCAAACTGCCCTATTAAATACGACAAGCAAAATCTTAAGAGACAACATAATGTTTCTCTGGAAACAACAGACCCCCTTGCAGCTTTCTCCAATAATTTCTGTAGCAGTACGTGACTTACAGCTTCTACACAGAGCTCCATTGATTGCATCTCAGCCAAAAGGATGAAATCTTGATCTTAAAGCGATCTTTACAGCAGTCTTAGATTTGTAGGTACAATAAACAGAATCATCTAGTTTGGAAAAAGACCTTCAGGACCACAGGATCATTTGAGTTGCATGGAACACTTAAAGGCCATCCAGTCCAACTGTGCTACAATGAACAGGGACGGCGCAGCTAGATCTGTTGGTTAGAGCCTAGTTCATCCTGACCTTGAATATTACTTGACTGCTAAGTTCCATACACATAAAAACACTTACTTGAGGATGACACAGCCCGTACCAGCAGGAGGAGCCGTCCAGAACACCTGGATGCGTGTCCTCCTCCTAGGTGTGCTCTCAGTCACTGCAACGGGACAGTTGCTCATGAACTGCGTCTCTTCTTCATCTATGATCTGAGGAATTGCAAAGAAAAGAACGTAAAAAGATGAGACATGCAGAGCCACTACCACTGAAATACACTGTATGTATGTTCTGTATGTAGGTTCTGTCGGCTCCTGCTTTCTTTCAGTGAAATTATTTGGAAAGCTCTGCTTAGCGCTCTTCTGCAAATGGATTCAAAACATGCACTTAACTCATTAACACAAAGAAAGGAAAAAGAATGGGCTACAGGTGAATCCTTCAGTTCTAAGTTAAAAGGTGGGGATCCTTTCTGAGCATGGCTGCAGCTAACCTTATCTGGGGATCCTCGCTGCTGGAATTCCAAGTAAATGTTAATGAACTGAAAATATTTAAAGATTAATCCTTTCCAGCTTTTCTTATTAGTAGCAGTCTTGTAGCAACTGGTTGGGACAGATGGAACATAAAGGAAAAAAGATGGGTTTTCAGTTTATTTATTTTCATTTTAAACTAACCTTTGTTTAAGCAGTATCGTTTCCAAGTATAAAAACTCTCCAGGACAGAACAAATAATACGTGAATCATATTGATCTATAATTCAGAGACTGCTATTTAATCCAACCTGCACGCATTTTTACTTTTACAATTGATTGCTGTTCAACAGAAAGATTTAAGTGGTGTAAGTTAACACAAAACCACAGAGGCTGTAATGAAACTGGTGTTGTTCCAAGGATTTTACTCAAAGGTGCCTGTGACAAAATAGCTTTCTCGCAACATATGTGCTTCATGGACTGCACTTTAAGCCGTCTGTTCGTCAGATTCTAAATTCATCAGAAGCTGATTAGTTTTATTTGGAAACAGGCTACGTTGTGATACTGCAAAAATGCTTTTCACAATGACTCTGTGGTCATCGATGGAGTAAAATCTCCCACGACACTGGGTCAAGATGAATTATAAACCACACCATTCTGAGAAAAAACAAGACTCGTTTCTAAAGGAGCTTTTCCAGAATTCTTGAACTAACACCACACACTTTTGCCAAATTACATTGAAAAAATAATCTTACTGCTGTAAATATAAATATTTTGACACCAAATACTGACTTACATTATGAAAAAAAACCAGTATCTGTAGTCTGATCAGATTTGCTTCAGTGGGCAGGCATCCATGTCATTTCACCCAATCGTACAGCCAGAATTCCCAAACTTTTATAGCAGAGCCAAATATAATTTTGGCTTTCTGTAACAAAAGAGAGGCGCTGACCCAAGGAGTTCATCTAAACTCTATTTAGCCAAATCAATAGGATAACGGTCACTGAGTTTTAAATGTAAAGCCATTAATATTCTCCAACTTTTTTAATGCTTCAGAGAATCTGTGTAAACACAACATGTGAAGCTACTACCATGCTAGATTTTAATCAATGTGAAGTACTGGGAAGCATGGGACTTCGCATATGCTTAAATTGGTACTGAATCATTTTCTATTTCTACTTAATGCAATCTAATGCACTTAACTTGATTACTAGGAAATCCCTAACCTACAGTTCTGCCTTGGTCATCAACAGTATTTACACTGCCTGCCTTACTCCTGCAACAGTAAAACAGAGAAATAACGCTGTTCAGTTGTTCCTCATTAAGTTATGGTCACAGTAGGTGACTTCTTCATATTACACAGTAAAAATTCAAAATTCTGTGGGACGAAGAATGATTTTATACCACCTTATATAAAATGAAAAACCACTAAAAATTGTTATTTATATGACCACAGGATAATTCCTATTGAAGGTGCTCTCAGGAGATCATGTAAGAATTCTCCACAGACAGTTTTTTTTTTCTAGAAAAACACGGCTACTGCCAAGTACTGCTGGAGTTACACTAGCTCCACATTCGTTGTGCATTGCAAACTGCTGCTGTTCCGTCATAACTCACACCCTTGCACAAAAACTGAGAAAACACCTTCAGTACAGGTCAAGGAAGCTAAGTCCTTACAGGTAACTGCAAATACTTCACTATTGACCAGGTAGAAGTCATTCAATGAGCCTTTCACTTATACTGCTTTTACAGCTCTAGTGTAACTCTTGTCTGAAACAGACTTCATCAATGAATGTTTCTGGAGAAGTCCAACTGAAATGGATCTGTGTTCTCAAAGCACAGAGTTGCTATTTTCAGCTAACGAGGATTCAGCTGACTTTACATTGTTCTTCTAGCAGTCACGATAGCAGACCCCTCTACGATACATTTAAGTGTTTGGTAAATCCTTGACCCTGGGAGAGTCAACCCTGCTTTTTTGTACAACAATGAATGGAATCACAAAGACAAGTGAGAAACAAACAGGTGAACAACAACAAATACATTTAAAAAAACCCAATAGCTAATGCATAAGGGAAAAGCCATGAGCAACTGTGAATAGTTGTTGTATGTAAAATTTCCGTCCACTGCAAAAAAGAGAAGTCAAAATACGTGACTTCATTTTAGTCATTAGTTTGGAGTACATCCATGCATATTTCTACTAGCAACAAACAAATACAAAAATGCAGATGTATTTTGTATTTCTATAGCCTACCAAATTCTTACAACCTAAAAAATGATGAGTTTTTCAAGGAATACAGATGACCAAAATGAAACCGAAGTTCTGATCGCATTTTAAAACACAGCGCAGGAAGAAGAGGAAGCCGTTAGACTTAAAGGCTACATCACCATTTCCTACATCAGTAACTATTAAAGCAAGAATACTGAAGCACTAAGTGTCTGCTGTGAAAAACCTGACCATAAAACACTAAGGTCCTGGAAAAGAGTGTGAGAAAAAAAAATTAGACGGAAGCTTCCTTAATAAAGACTTCTAAAGTTGACAGAATACAATAAAAAGCTCCTGAATTAGACAGAAAAATTCAAATATAAGTTGATCTGAGCAGTTTAAGAAATTGCTTTAAAATACTTTTGAAAACTCAGAAGAATTCCCCAGTTTCTAGGAATACAGGGTAAATATTAACCCGTCTCAGAAGCATTTCTTAAAAATATGCATTTTTCCATATCTGAGGAGGTTTGATTTTCCGCGTTCCAAGGTGTAATGCAGAAAGTTCACCACTTACACAACAGGATTCCAGTATTTTACAGTAGTGGAGGATTTCATTGTGCTCACATAACACAGGGGAAATAATACTAGCCTGGCAAAGTTCATGGAGGAAAAAAAAAAAAAAAAGATATGTACTCTTTGAAAATAATACAATCCTGATTTTTCTTCTGGAGTCATGTCAGACCACATAATGCATGAAGGAAAAATTGGCAGGAAAAACCACGCAGATTAAATGTAGCATTTGCAAAATTACAGCTTGCTAAACTCTAGGTTATGCGCAATGGGAAGCCTCACATTTTCAGGAATGGACCCGTAAAAAACCTAAAAACTAAAACGAACACTTGGCACAAGAATCTGCAGTATCAAACCAGGGGTATCTCTGTGTGACAAATTCTTCTGAATCCACACATGCAGTAATAGTAAGCCTTTACATTCTATTTGCTGGGTGTTTTCTCATTGTTGGGATTTTTTTTATTTTATTACTCTATGACTGTAATATTATTTGAACAATTTATTCCCTCAGGGAAACTAGTGCAAACTCTGATAATCGTCCTGGAGTTAACCTGGATTGAAATGACTGTCACAGAAAGTAGAATTCAGCTGACCTGTGTAAATCTACACACATGGAAGCAAAGATATTAAGAGGGAGAATTTGCCAGCTCCAGCTTCAATCTTGCATTCTTTGCATATTCCAAACATGGAAGAATTTGAGGAGTTTTGGGTGTTCCTGAAAAGCAGGACTGGATGAATGCTTATCTGTTAAACTGAGGAGTGGCTTTCTTTTCTCAGAATTAGAACCATTTCTTGCTGGGTGACAGACCTCACTGTTGCTTTCTAATTTTCACAAACTGCTGGTCAAATAAAATAATTCCAGTGGTAATACTCTCTACAGTTAAATACACTTAAAAATACACATCAGCATTAAAAAAAAAAAAGTCAAAATGCTTATAAAATAAGTTACATACAACATAAAGAAAGGAAGTAAGATTGAGTACAAAGGAGATGAAGTTACATAAATCCTCTACTGGCGCGAGTCCGCTATTTCAACCACTGGCCAGGATCTTCGACACCATTCTTTGTTTTATAGATGCATCATCGCTTTCCACCCACTGAAACATCTGTGCTCTACTGGAACAACCAAATTTTAAAAATAAAAATTAAAAAAAGGGAAACTTTCAGTTCTACAAAGAAGCCTGATGCTAGACAGGCGGATCAAGACTTTGACAGAGTAGAAGAAAAATATAAAGGATAAATATATCTCCCAAGACATAAATAAACGAACAGTGAGACATTTTAGGGAATTCTTTCCAGTCGCTTTTCTCTTAGATTTCCAACAAAGATTTTAAATACTGTGCTCACTGAAAAAAAAAAAAAAAAAAAAAAAAAAAGCTATGCTGGATGATCAAAAGGACAGACTACTGAAAGAATCCTGTCTGAGAATCCTATTAAGCTGCTTTGTAATTATTCACTATAAAAGACTTGGTCTTTGTCATACCACAGTGCATATTATTCTTCTGTCTAAATTAACCTACAAGCTACATTACACCTTCTGCAGACCCTGGTGTATATTCCAAGGTGCAATTCAAACAGGAAGAGAAAGAAGTCAGTTCACTGTGACTAGAACCTGAAACATCATGAAAATAAAGCACTGCAAATCTCCACACTAAGCAGCCTTTCCTGCCTCAGAGAATGCCTATAGAAAGTTTGACAACGATTCCTTCTTCGCTTAATTCAGTACGTATGAGAAAAACAACATCTATTTTGACAGAGACAAGTAACAATAAACAATTAGCAGGTACAAAGTGCTGGGTTTGAATGATTCCCAGATATCCGTGTTGTAAAATGTTGAATCCTAAGGCTGATGCTGAAGGTATTAGCACGTCAACTGAAAAAGGCCAATCAAGGAAATGCTACGGAAGAAAATCCAGATACAGGAACTGGGGTTGTTGGGAACTGGAAATGGCCACCTGGGCAGCATCTCACAA